CCAATTATTATCCATATTTGAAATCCACATTCCCTAGGAGTAACCCCATTGGAGTAGGGTTCCTGTATTTTCCTCCATCACCATCTCCTCTATCCATCTCTGGTACAACTAGACAGAAGTAGATACAGCTAAGAAGGCAATACACAAAATCCAGCCTGTTTTCTCCGGCCTCATCTTTTACACCAAAAGGAACCTGGTTGAATTAAAGACTTCATCAATGGCAGTCAATTGTTTGCTACCCAGTATTTCAAAAAATTTCATCAGATTAAGTTTAGTGGTTGTTTCATTTCTAAAGAAAAAATATATTTTTCGAAGATTTTATTTATTTGAGAGAGAGCATGCAAGAGAGCACGAGTTGGGGGGAGGCTCAGAGGGAGAGGGAGAAGCAGGCTCCCCGCTGAGCAGGGAACCCCATGTGGGGCTCCATCCCAGCACCTTGCGATCATGACCTGAGCCTGGTCTGAGCCGAACGCAGACGCTTAACCAACTGAGCTACCGAGGCGCCCCTTAAAGAAAAATATTAAAACAGAAGGCTAGGTTTCCTCCCTCTCTGACTCGCCAGTCATTTAGCATGGCCATATAAAAGTCCACAAATGAACAGGTGAGCTACATAATGCAGTGTTCTAATTGGGCAGCTTCTTAAAGAAAAGGACTCTCCAACTCCAGTTAATAGATCTGATACAAAGAACACGTTTCTCCAACAAATACATTCAGGACTTGAATTTTACAGTGTACCTGATGACGGTTCTAGCCATAGTAAAAAAAAAAAAAAAAAAAAAAAAGTATTTTTTTCCCCAGGATATCAAATGTTCTGACTCACCATTTCACTGAAGTACAAGCAAAATGAAAATGCAAATGACATTTTATACATGTTTATGACTTTACCGGCTGTATGGCAGTTCCCCTTTGGCTTCTGGCTTTATTTACCAGGAAGAGAAGCTTGGAAAACCACCATACATTTGTATTTCTTTTTTTTTTTTTTTTTTCATACATTTGTATTTCTATTCAAATAGTTCCCTTTCTCCAAGCACTGGTTGGAACAAAGTATTAATTCTAAGTCTGGTGACATAAGTAAGTCAAGAGAATCATAGGGAGTAGATGAAAACAGACAAACATTTTCTCTTTAATGGTATCTGCTTGGATGAGAACATTTAAAAATATAAATACTAAATCCTTTAAAATTATGCCGCTTCACTAATAAGTACTAGTAAACAGAAGTTTTCCATTAAACCTCTATGATTTCTAAAACCCAAAATGTACCTTCACCATAGAACTCCCAGCAAAACCTCAAATACAAACCTTCTTAAGAATTCCACATTAGCCCTTATTATTAGCCCTTATTAGATAATAATTTAGCTCCTCCTGCTAAACTTCTGGGTGACCCTGAGCAAGTCAATTCACCTCTCTATGCCTGAGCTGTCTTATCCATAAAGCAGGCAAGTCTCTGAACTACTTAACATATAATTTCTTTTTCACAAAGACATACCTCAATCCCAATGGCTGGATCTGTTAATATTTAAGAACCATTCTACTTCTCTGTCATCCTTCTTCTGAAAAAACAAAACAAAACAAAACACAACTTTTGTGTATATGGGAAGGAGGGATGGAAACAGGACCCTTCAAAGGGAACAGAAACTAGGTGGGTTTTGTTAATTAGGTTTCCTCTCCGAAACCACCAGCCAGTATTAGCAGGTGCTTGAAATTTACTCGAAGGAAAAAAAAAAAGTGGTTGGTTTCTCCATCTCAAGACTAACTCTTTCATAAAAGGGCAGGAGTCAATTTCTAGGAATGTGTCTTTCACCAGCTACACAATACTAACAACTAAGGGACGGGAAGGCAAGCAAAGGAGGACAGAGATGACATGAGTCTATTGTCTGCATGGAGAAAGAAAAACTCTTCTTTATATGCTGTGTTCAGGAAGGAGGGCAGTAACAGACACCTGTACCTGCCAGCTTCAAGAGACACACCTCGTGTAGGTAAGTTACCTGATGGGTCAGCAGATGTTGGGAATTTACATGATGCGATGCTTTGTTTTTTACAAACTCCAAGTCTAAAAGTAAATTAAAGGTATGAGTTGACTGGGATATTCAAGTGAATCTTGACATGTATTTTAGAGTAGATCAGCCCATTGGGATATTTCCAAGTCAAATAATAACACTAAACAATATACATGCTAAGCTGAAGTGCCCTGGAAATGTTTTCCCTTCACTAAATGGAACAGGGTCAAGGGAAAGGGGGAGTAAATGACAAGTGGAATAGATTATTAGCTAAACAGAACGCTGAAACTAGAAAGAGAAAGATAATTCATTATGAATCTCTTGTTTCATATATGGGACACTTGAGGCTTAGAGGTGATATGATTTGGCCCCGGGGTCATACAGCCAAATAGAGTGCCAGAACTAGAACTCGGGTCACCAGCAGGCATGCGTAACAGTCCCTAGTTTATTGCAGTATCCTTCATGTCTCCTCCTCGCCATCAGAAGCGGGACAATGGCATCATCTGCAAAGCCATGGACTGGGCTTCAAGAGCTCTGAGTTCTAGTCTTGTAACCTTCACTAGCTTAGACAGGATACCACTGAAAACTCCCATCCCTGTCCAACCTCGGTTTCCTCATCTGTAACATGTGAACAGTGATTCACAGTGAGACAGCGCAGACCACAATAAATGCAGAAGCAGTCTGGCCGTTGTGAAACTGTATGCAAGTACAGAACCAGCACTGGGTGGTGATGGGGGCATATCAGAGAACCTGCCTGTGACTGTTAAGTCCAGCCGCTTATTACCTTGGTAAGTCCCTCCATCTGTGAGCCTCACGTTCCTCCTCTGAGTATGTGGTTAATAATCTTTGCCCTGCCTCCCTCGGAAATGGCCAGAACTTGAGAGCACTGAAAAGCATTCACAAATAACAAGGCACTGATTCAAGTGCAAAGTGTTATTATGAGATCCCTCTAGTCTCCTTAATTTGGACAGAAATGTATGTGGTTTAATCATTCAGTTCTGAACAGTTTTCTTTCTCAACTAAGATGTCATTATTCGTGAGTCTCAGATTTCACAGCTTTCTCCTGGGTGCTCCGAGTCTCCGCTCCCATTACCGTACCAGGAATGCACAGAGACCATGCATGATGCTTACTCAACGTGCCACTGGCATGGACTTGGCTGAGAAAGCCTACTTTCCCAGGGCCTCCTCTCAGCTGGAAATGCTCTGACTAAAGCTTCCATGAGCACTATTTTACTTCATCACATTAGAGGAGTAATGAAACCAACCCTCGGGCTTTTCTCCAACAACTGCAGAACACTTTAGCCTTTCCACAGAACAAGAGAGAAGTCTGGGTGGATGCTTGTCACCAGAGGGGCAAGAGAGGTTCCCGAAATCCATTCTCAGTAGTGCAGATGGGGAGACCTTTTTTTTTTTTTTCTTTGCAGGAGACTCACTGTGAGGCCCAACCAGTCTCTCAAGGGTCACTGGCCTTAGAGCGAGGGCCCCTGGGAGGCTGAAAAGGTCCTGCAAAATTGGGGGGTGCCGCTTGGGGTCTGCAACATTCTGCCTTCAAAAAGCATCAGAGTAACTAGCATTTCCTTGTTAAGAACCCTGATATCAGTAGATCAGATGAAAGAATTCATCAGCCTATCCAAACAACTTCTCTGGAACAGGTTTCTACCCAACCACGCTGGGCACCAGAGACAAGTGGGGGATAAGAAATACAACAGGCTCATCTGCATAGATGAGAGATAAGCAGACGTTTGTTGTCTTCTGTTTTGGCGACTCTTGGCTCCCGCCTGACGACTCAACCCTGGCATTCTCCCTCTCCTGGCCCCCACACTCCCACCGCCCCCCCCCCCAGCTGTTGAAGCGTCACGTTGACGGGGCTGGGGGAGAGAACGGAGGGAAACGCAGAAGTCAGCTGCTGCACTGAGGCTGGAACCGTACCGCACCTGTGCAATCCGGCTTCGGCGCCAGAAATGACCAGAACACCGACTCGCAAGCCCCTCTTGAGATCCCAGGGGCGCCTGACAAGTTCGCCTCTGTTTATTGCCCGGGGAGGGTGGTGGGAGAGCTCTCCTGCTGCTGCCAAACTCAGCTGGTTGCCCTGAAAAGGGGATGGAGCTCCCGCTTTAGCGAACCCAGAGAGGTCCCCGAGGGTCAATGCGGCCAAGAGGGGGGGATCTGGGTGGTGAGCGAGCGGGTGGGTGCTCGCGGGGAGCGCGCCGCCGTGGCCCCAGCGGAATGAAGGTCCCACTTCGGTGGCCACACGCAACCCTCCACCCTACCCCCAGCACAAGGCGGACAAAGTGCGAGCGTAGAGACCGCCAGGGTTCCTCAGGACGCCGAGCCCCCGAACCCCAGCCCTGGAGGAGGGTGTAGGGAGGAGGGGCCGGGGACGCGCAGGAAACTTACCTCACCCGGGCAGCATTCGGGCGCCTCTGCTGTCGAGACCAGTTGCGCCACAGTCCGCAAGTTATCTGGATGTAGTTGCTTCCCCCCCGCCCGGCGCCGGGAGATCTGTGCCGGCGAGGGGCGGAAGGGGCCCGAGGGTCGGCGGGGCGGGGGCGGGGGCGGGGGCGGGGCGCGGCGCGGCGTGCGGAGCCGGCAGGTGCGGGGCCGGGGCCGCGGGGCCAAACTCGCCCGGGACGCGCCTCGGCGGGGGCGCGCGGCTGCGAGTGTGCAGTGCGCGCGCGCCGCGGCGAGTGTGTGTGTCGCCGCTCTCCCCTTCCTTCCCCGCCAGTCCTCCGGCCAGACGGAGCAGCGAGCGGCAGCCGAAAAGCCCCAGCAGCCGGAGCGCTCCGCTGCCCTGCGCGGCCTCCGCGCAGCGCACTCGGCGGGGAGCGGGGGCCGGGGGCGGAGGAGCAGCGGCGCCCCCGGGCTCGGGCGCGGGCGCGGGCTCGGGCTCGGGCTCGGGCGCGGGTCCCGGCGCCGTGCGCGCCTGAGTCGGAGCGAGGCGCGGAGAGAGCAGTCTGCGCGCCGGCTGCCGCGGCTCGGGGAGGCTGCAGGCCCCGCCCGCCGGCCGCCCAGGCTCTTCCCCTTTTCTCTCCACCCACTTGCTCCATCCCCGCTCGCCCTGCAGGGAAGCCAGACCGGTTTGCAGCACCAGCCGCGGCGGCGGGAACCTCCGCCGCAGTCGGACTGGGCGCCGGAGTCGGTGCATGGGGACGCGGAGAGCCGGGCTGGGCCGGGCCCCGAGGTTCGGCCGGTTTCTCCTAGACGCCAGGGTTAGCCGAGGGCGTCCCGGTGGTTCTGAAGTCTTGCAGCCCCGCTAGAGAAAGCCGTGTTTGGGATAGGACATCATCCTCCCTTCCTCAGGCCACTGAACTCTGCAGCGCCTGGTCGCCTGCCCACTGGACTCTGCTGGCCGCGAAGCCCGCATTTAAGCACAGGTGCCCCCTCCACTAGGAAGGGACAGCTAGCATTCCGAGGCGACGGCGTGCCCCCTTCTGATGACAGCAGGAGTTCCCAGGAAGTCAGACCTACCCAACAGGTAGGGTAGGTTGGCGAAGGGGTCACGGGAGAGAGGAGGCCCGAGGGACGTCAAGAGGTCCAGAGCGCATGGGCTGGGATGGGAGAGGGGACTAAATCTTCTGGATGGCGCTGAATGGGTGCGGGGACCCTTGCAATCGCCTGTGATATTGGGGGAGAGGAGAGGGTAGGGGGTAGACCTGAGGACTCTTGGGAAAATGCTGTCTTGCAAGCTATCGCCAAATTTACTGAAAAGGTACCTACCGGATCTCTCCCAGATGAATGGAAGCAAGTGGTATTTCTCACCTTCATCATTTCCTTCCTTGTCCTTGTTTTAAAAACAAACAAACAAACAAACAAACGCACTGATGTAAAACGTGGGATATATTCTGCGGGCGGAAGAACAGCACTTCATGGTCCTTATCCTCAGATATCCCTGGCCTGGCGAGTCACAGTGAGTTTCTCATTGAAAGGATACTCCCTAAGTTCTCAGCAAAAGAACGCCTCTTTTTGGTTTTGAAATCTTTTTGTACCTCCCCCCACCTTGGGTAAGTTTGTTATGGTTTAATAACAGCTCCGATCAAAGTGCAATAATCCCTTGGTAATGCGAATATCTGTTATTTCTTGGACTGTTTTTCCAACCTACTTCTTCTAGATGTATCTGGCCATTACTGGGAGTTTTCAGGCATCACGTGTTTAGGACCCTGTGACTTGGTTCTGGTTTTGTCTTGGCATTCTAGATTCTTCCAAAGCTCAGAGCAGGAACACACATCTAGTTCAGCTTGTTCCCTCTACCGAAGAGAAAACTAAGATCCAAAGACATTAAGTGGCCCAAGAGCCAGAACACAGGTTCCTTGACTCCCAATTCCTGAACAATAAAAGAAACGGGATTAACAAAGTTCAATTTGGGGTGGATAGAGGGGGTGGCAGAGAAAGAAAAGATCCAAGAACCCTTCATCTGCCTTGAGTGAATCACTGCGTAGGGGGCAGCACCACACCGCTGTAAATAGCAGGCTGGTTGGGATCTGGGAATGATAGTCTCCCCCTCCCGGCTCCTCGCCCCTCTGGCCGATCTGAAATCCAGCGAGTGGAAAACAAATCTGCTTCCCAGAGTGGTAAGTGTAAATGCAAAGCCAGTTTTCAGTATTTCCTGGGAATGCAGGGGAGGCGAAAACAGGTAAAACCAAACTTAAATCACAGTGGATTGGGGGGGCACACACATTACGTACAGAGGCATGCACACACGTGTACGCACAGCCCTCCTTTCCCATTAAGAGACTGACTGACTCCCTTCTGTAAAGCATAGGGCCAACAGCCTTAGGTTTCCAGAGACAAATCACAAAGCAGACTGCCCACTGGCGTTTTAGAGAGCTAACTCAAACAGGATTCTCAGGAACTCTACCAAGAGCCTTAAGATGCTCATTACTGTGAATTAATTCCTAGAACAGGCTGACCACATAGTTATTATACCATAATACCTGTTCTTTCTTCCCGGTTCTCTCTCTACATATACATCAACAGGAATTTGGGAAAGTCACCCTCTAATGGAAATAAAACAAGATCAATATTACTAGCAATAGTGACTTGGCCAGAAAGTTTGAAAACATTTAAAAATTAGAAAGTGCAGCTCTTATGTATCAGTGACGAATCACTGAATTCTGCTCCTGAAACCAATATTGCACTGTAGGTTAACTAAAATTTAAATTAAAATGAAAAATAAATAGAAATTAGAAATCGTTTTACTTAATTTCAAATGTGACTTCTGATTCTAGATTTTAGTCCATTTTCTTAAAAAATGCTATTTACACTCCCCTGTGAGAAAGACGTGTAGATTCCTTATAGTAGATTTGATAGCATTAATGGCCCCAATTAATGACTTCCCTTTATCTAAGTCCTTTGTCTCTAATTTTGTCATCCCCTCCCACCCTAGGCTTACCTTTGGCCATTGGAACGTCAGTAGACTTGATGTAAATGAAGGCTTGAAAAACGTTTGTGCAACATACCTATTAGAATTTCCAAAATCCAGAACGCTGACAATACCAAATACTGGCGAGGATGTGGAGCAACAAGAACTCTCATTCATTGCTAGTGGGAATGCAAAACAGTAGAGCTATTTTGAAAGACAATTGACAGTTTCTTACAAAAGGAAACATGACTCTCTCCATATGATCTGGCAATGATGTTCCTTGATATTTGCCAAAAAGAGCTGAAAACTTAATTCCATACAAAAACCTGTACACAGTTTTTAGCAGCTTTATTCATAATTTGGACAAACCTTGGAAGTAACCAACATGTTCTTTAGTAGGTGAACAGATAAATGAACTGGGGTGTCCAGACCCTGGAATGTTATATGATGGGAAAAAGAAATGAGCTATCAAGCTATGAGAAGACCTAGAGGAAACTTAAATGCATATTGCTGAGTGAAAGAAGCCGGTCTGTAAAGGTTACATATTGTTTGATTCCAATTATACAGCACTCTGGGAGAGGCAAACCTATGGAGACAGTAGAAAGATCAGCGGTCGCCCCGGGGTTGGGGGTGGGGAGGTTTGAATGGGTAGAGCACCGAGGATTTCTAAGGCAGTGAAACTACTCTGTGTGATACTTCAATGGTAGATAGCTATCATTATACATCTGTCCCAAACCATACAACGTACATTCCTAATGTCAACTGTGGTGTTTGGCTGATAATGATGTGTCAAAGTAGATTCACCAATTGTAACAAGGGTACCACTCTGGTGGAGGGTGTTGATAAGTGGGGGAGGCTATGCATGTGTGGGGGGCAGGGAAGATATGGGAAATCTCTATACCTTCCCCTCAATTCTTTTGTGAATCTAAAACTATTCTAAAGAAATTTATTTTTTTTAAGTTTGTGCATTTTTGCTTTTTGTTCTTGGAATTCTGCCAAGGAGCACAAGCCCACTGAAGGATGAAAGCCTGGGTTGCTCAGTCAGTTAAGCATCTGACTCGATGATTTCCGCTCATGTCGTGATTTCTGGGTTGTGAGATCGAGCCCCGAGTTGGGTTCCACGCTCAGAAGGGAGTCTGCTTGAGATTCTTTCTCTCTCCCTCTGCCCCTCCTCCCATTATCTCTCTCTCTCTCATAGTAAATAAATATTAAAAAAAAAAAAAAGGAAAGACCTTGTGCTACAGAGGTAAGTCACCACAGCTGAGGCCATTCTTGACCAGCAAGCCCTCAGGAGACTGCAAAGACACAAGAAGTCCAAATGAGACTGGCCAGGCTTGCCGTATCCACAGAACCACCCCCACCCCCCACAGCTCAGAGATTCGTGAGAAATAATGCACGGTGGCTGTTTTAAGCCATTGCTTCAGTCCTCCATTGCCTAATTACAAACCACCCCAAAACTAATCACCACCACCAACTACCATTTACTCTTGCCATGATTCTGTGAGTCAGCTGGGCATAGGCTAGTGTCACTCCCTTGGCTGCAGTCAGCTAGCTGCTGGCTGCTGGGCTGAACTGGAAGGTCTAAGAAGCCTTCCCTCACACATCAGGCACTTCTAGCTGCCTCCACATGTGGTCCTTTCAGCTGCTGGGGGCTCAGACTTCTGACACAGTGGCTGCCTTCCCAGACGGAGGACTGAGCTTGGAAGTTCTAGAATGCTACTTTTTTTTAATAAACATATAATGTATTATTTGTTTCAGAGGTACAGGTCTGTGATTCGTGAGTCTTACACAATTCACAGCGCTCACCATAGCACATACCCTCCCCAATGTCCATCACCCAGCCACCCCATCCCTCCCACCCCCCTCCACTCCAGCAACCCTGTTTCCTGAGACTAAGAGTCTCTTATGGTTTGTGTCCCTCTCTGGTTTCGTCTTGTTTCATTTTTCCCTCCCTTCCCCTGTGATCCTCTGTCCTGTTTCTCAAATTCCTCATATCAGTGAGATCATATGATACTTGTCTTTCTCTGATTGACTTATTTTGCTTAGCATAATACTCTCTAGTTCCATCCATGTTGTTGCAAATGGCAAGATTTCATTTTTGATGGCTGCATAATATTCCATTCTCTCTCTCTCTCTCTCTCTCTCTCTCTCTATATATATATATATATATATCACATCTTCTTTATCCATTCATCTGCTGATGGACATCTAGGCTTTTTCCATAGTTTGGCTATTGTGGACATTGCTGCTATAAACATTGGGGTGCACATGCCCCTTTGGATCCCTACATTTGTATCTTTGGGGTAAATACCCAGTAGTGTAATTGCTGGGTCATAGGGTAGCTCTATTTTCAACTTTCTGAGGAACCTCCATACTGTTTTCCAGAGGGGTTGCACCAGCTTGCATTCTTACCAACAGTGTAGGAGGGTTCCCCTTTCTCCACATCCCCGCCAACATCGGTCGTTTCCTGACTTGTTAATTCTAGCCATTCTGACTGGCGTGAGGTGGTATCTCATTGAGGTTTTGATTTGGATTTCCCTGATGCCGAGCGATGTGGAGCACTTTTTCATGTGTCTGTTGGCCATTTGGATGTCTTCTTTGGAGAAATGTCTGTTCATGTCTTCTGCCCATTTCTTGATTGGGTTCTTTGTTCTCTGGGTGTTGAGTTTGACAAGTTCTTTATAGATTTTGGATACTAGCCCTTTATCTGGTATGTCATTTGCAAATATCTTCTCCCATTCTGTTGGTTGTCTTTTGGTTTTGTTGACTGTTTCCTTTGCTGTGCAAAAGCTTTTTATCTTGATGAAGTCCCAATAGTTCATTTTTGCTCTTGCTAGAATGCTACTTCTGCTTCATTCTATTGATTAAAGCAGTCACAGGACCCACCTGATTCAAGCGGAGGGGAAATACCCTCTCCATTTTGATTTGAGGGGCAGTATGGATGTGCAGGATTAAAAGGGCCTGATAGCAGCCATTTTGGTTGAGATTATCCTGCCTGCTAAGTTTTAGGGTGGTTGTTATACCGCATTTGATACATTCTTCTAAGCTGTGGGACTTTGGACTAGTTACAGATCATTTCTGGACCTTTCTATGAAATGAGGGAGTTTGGGTTTCTCTAGGTTGCTAATGCGTATTTAACTTTTTCTTTAGTGATATGCCAAGGGAAAATGATCCAGAAAGGAGTTGCAAAAGGGAGTCTGTGCAGCACTGGTCAGCTGTGGGTATGTCGAGCATTTCATCTGCCATTAATTCTTCTACTAGGAAAAAAACCCCCAAGAATTCACAGGAAAGACCTGCATGGCCTTCATGGACATCAAACAGTAGGAAAGTAAAGGCTGCATCCCTTCACAGCTTCTGATGGATCATCTCACATCACCTTGCCTTCTCTTTCTAGAAACATCATTTCTAAGCCCACAAAGAGGCCAAATGCTTAGCTAACTCCCCTGTACAACTTGAGATGCTCATTTCGGAGGACTTGGTGACCCTAATTTCAAGTTTGCTCTTTAGGTTAGTGAAGGCTTGAACACCTCACCCCCGAATCCCTTCCTTCTTCTTCTTCTCCGGTACCATCTTCTATTTCCTCTAGCTCTTGCTCTCTTTTCCTGTTGGATCTTTGCTTCCTTAATCCCAACCAACTCCTGTTCCTCCTTCCTCTCAGGCTTGAGAAGAACATTGAACTAGCAGTCCTGAGCCCTGCTTTCTCATTGCAACTCTGCCCTTGCAACAGTGAAGCCTCCATCCTCTCTTGGATTGAGGTTCCTGGTCTGTATCACGGGAGTGTGAGACAGGAGGCTCAGAAGGGTCACTTGCAAGCCTAATAGTCTCTGATCACTACATATCTGCAGCACATTCAGTGCCAAGGCCTGGAGCAGGGTGAACATTCAGGACTCAGAGCCCTTAGTAGGAAGTACACATGTATCTCATTCCCATTGCCTTCATACTTTTTCCGTAACTTTTTTTCTTTTTAGTTTGACAACATGCCATTCTACCAGCTGCAAACCCAATTTAACTCATTATTCTTTGCCCTGAGGTTGGCATCCTCCTAGCTCTCCTCAAGACTAGCTGATGTTTGCATTCTTCAGTGAGAAATGTGATGAAAAGGGGAGGCCCAGTGTTAGCAGGCATACAGGTATGACCCTAACAAAGTTCTCCACAACACCAGGTAACTCAACTAAGAAATATGAAAAGGAGCCAAAAAAGGTTTCCCTAACAAATTCATACCAAAATATAAAATTATATGCATTGAGATTGTAATCATGCAAAAAAATATAGACACATGAATAACTCCTGAAAGAGACCAATTACAGGGGCGCCTGGGTGGCTCAGTCAGTGAAACATCTGCCTTTGGCTCAGGTCATGATCCCGGGATCCTGGGATCAAGGCCCACATTGGGCTCCCTGTTTAGCAGGGAGCCGGCTTCCGCTTCCCCTCCCCGCTTATGCTCCCTCTCAGTCTCTCTCTCTCTCTCTCTCTCTCTCTCTCTCGTTCTGTCTTAAATAAATTAAATCTTAAAAAAAAAAAATCGTGACACACACGTGACACCAGAAAGGTCACCATAAAAGTGTGACAGGTCTAGAAAGAATACCAAGAAATAATTGAGTCTCCTGGAAAGGACAAAAAAAAAAAGAAGGAAAAGTAATGAGTACAACACAGACCCTTGAACTTCCCACATACAGGCAGTGGCTGTCTACCCAAGACATCAGAGCCGACCCCTGCCTGCAGCCATAGTGGGAGGGGCTTGAGCACCAACAGTGAGCCACAAGAGTTCCCACCCCGTGTGGAGGGGCAGCTTCCCGAGCCAACTCTTGAATCTCTCAGCTTTGCTCTCTGAAGGGAGGTGGTGTGCATGATGCTAACCACACAAGAAACACTTGTTGAAGAGAAGGGAGTGTTGACTTTAGTCAACCAGCGAAACCCCCATTAAGATTCCTCAAGGTCTCTGTGACACCTTCCCGTGTGAATGCACCAGGAAGACAACATGAATTTTTGCTTTTATTTCTCAAAAAAGTGTAGCAACTTCCCTGACGTGGAACCATTGGGGCAGAACCTTACTGGCTAGCCTCTTCTCTTGGTGATATTTGAGTTTGAAAGCTTGGCTAGCAGAATGGAACTCTTATTCTGACATCTCCTTAAAGACACTGTCCACAAGCTGTCCCAGCAAAATGTTCCAGTTTGGGGGGATGTATCCAATGGGGGGATAGAAAAAGAAAATCTATTAATCAGGGTAGGCAAAATGTATCCAATGGGGGGATAGAAAAAGAAAATCTATTAATCAGGGTAGGCAAACTGCCGTAAGATACAATGAATGTGGATTAATACAAGAAAGGTTCATTTCTCTTTCATGCCTCTGTGCAACACGGTTTGGTGGTAGGGTTGGCTTCATGCAGTCAGTCAGGGACCCTGGGTCTTTCTATCTTGTGGCACCACTATGTTCAGCAAGTGGCTTCCCAAATGCCTGCCATGCTAGAAGAGAGAGCAAAGGACATAAGATGCCAGTGATACTCATCACATCCACCCACATGCCACTGGCCAGAACCTGGCCCATGGTCCCCCCTACCCGCAAGAAGCCTGAAAAAATATGATTAAGCACCGTGCTGGGGAAGAAGAGGAGAATACTATATTCTCTCCCCAGTGCACTGAATTAGAGACAAATCATTCATCTTAAGCTTATTCTTGCACAGCTATGATCGGAAGCTTAGGAGGGAGAGTCTCCAGCATTGAGATTATTCTTCATGCTTGCATCTTGGTGTTTTCCCTGAATG